ATGCAGACATGGTTTTATGTTTGCGCGATGCAACGCAACGTGTAAAAAGTCAGTATAAGTCATTATAATCCGTAATTATGTCCCCACTGGATGCAACAAATGCCTCGATTATAATGGGTTTGAATGTTTTTGACTTGTCACTCCGGCCGGGACATGGCATCACACTATGGTAAGGGGCATAATATTTCCGTCACACGCTTGAGGTATTCGGCCAATCACAACGCACTGGATAGCTGGCCAATCACAGCACACCTTGCTTTTCAGACCGATGAGCTTTGTAAAAATCGACGCGTTTCAGAAAGGCGGGGCATAGAGGAGAAACAATAATGTACAGTATGTGGAAAATAATGTGTTTTTTGAACCTTAAACCGCATAAACACATTTCATTACACCAAATACACAAAATAATGTTCTTTTTAGCAACATCAAATGACCCTTTTAAATAAGTTTAGTACACATGTCAGATGCCACATCTGCACGTCCACGTGTTTTACAGCATTCAATGTGAGCAACAGGAACAGTCAATAATAGCTTAATTACATAATTATATAATGCTTTCGGGTGGTTGACATGTCACGCATGCCACACTATGATATTTTGAAAGGTATCATCAACTCAACAAAACACCCAAAGGTGTTTTACTCCAAAGAAGCATTTGCTGTTTTCCATTTGAATTAAATGTTACACATGGGACACACATTGGGCCTCGTTTACAAAAACTTACGACAGAAAATTGTGCGTATGGTTGTTTCTATGCAAAACTCGGAATTTATCAATGTGGACGTGAGCGATGGCTACGATCTCATGTCCAGTGTTTCCCACAGACTTACACTCTATGTGTGGCGGCACTTCCCCTGGGGGAAATATATATGTATATAATGTAAATATAAAACAGCAGACGGGCTTATTGAAAATACAAATTCATTCTCTGCCAGCAGAAGGCGCTTTTGGAATGGCAGAAATAGCGGTTTCCCCGGTAACGGCTGTAATAATAGCAGCGCTGCGCTCATGAACGCTACTTTATCAGGCATTATAGGAAAGATTTAATGAAAATTACATCAAAACTTTTCTGAAGACAATCGGTTCCCTTCAAAAAAAGATACATTTATATAAAAACACCTGCGTCTCGTTTTGATTTTGAAACAGTGCTCATGTTTATTCAACGAAGTCAAAGCCTTTTGGAAAATATATTTGTGGCGGTCAGTGTTTATATTGTGGCGGGCCTCCACAAATAAATCAATATATGGGAAACCCTGCATGTCAGGTCTGAACTTGAGTAGAAGTTTCAAAAAGAAGTTCTTTTTGAAGAAGAGCCTCTTCTGCTCACAAAGGCTGCATGTATTTGATGATAAACATAGTAAAAACAGTAAAATTGTGACATTACAATTTAAAATAACTGTTTTGTACGTAATGGGAAGGCTACTTTTTGATACAATTTTGGATAATTGTTTAAAAGGTGCTCCTAAAATTTTGAAAGTGCTCCTAAAAAGAAAAGTAAGCGTAGAGCCCTGATATATATATTGTAAAATGTAATTTATTGCTGTGATCAAAGCTGAATTTTCAGCATCATTACTCCAGTCTTTAGTGTCACATGATCCTTCAGAAATCAATCTAATATGCCGATTTGCTGCTCAAGAAACATTTCTGATTATTATCCATGTTGAAAACAATTGTGCTGCTGAATATTTTTGTGGAAACGTGATACATTTTATTTTTCAGGATTTTTTGATGAATAGAAAGTTTAAAAGAACAACATTTATGTGAACATACTGATGTACAGTGTCTGTCGCCCCTAGTGTACAGATGAGACTGATGTAGGCTCAATAAAAACGAATAAACAGACATCTGATTTAAAGACATTATCAAAATATTACTTCTATGCAGTTTAAACTGTCATAAACCAAAAACATCATCACTCAAATGTCATTTATCGCTGAAATGAAAGCAGTGTAAATGTGGATTTTAACACAGAGCTGTGATAGACGTGTGTTTGTACCTGGTTTTTGGCTGGTCATGTGTCTGCTGAGGGCGGCTCTTCCTGCAGCCTGAGGGGCGGGGATTGTGGTGGGCGGAGCTCCATGCTTGACTGTTTTTGTGGCTAATGCTGTGCTATCGGCACTGTCCATGTTTATCTTCGGAGCTGCAACACATTCAAGAGACGTTGTAAAGACTGTTAACAAGATGAGCAACACGTGTTCAGGTGTGTTTTGAGCCTCACCGGGGCTGATGATGGGGACGGGACCTGTCTGAACTCTGCTGAACGGACTGGACTGCATACTGAAGCCCGGCTGTATGAAGGGTGTCCGGGCCACCGCGGGGTGTCGCGGGACAGCGGGTGTCAGCACCGGGATGGGAGCCGGCTCATCCTCTTCCTCGGCCACAGCCAGCGAATCCTCGGGCTCCAGAGGCTGAGACAGAGACGAACTGGAGCTCACCTCATCCAGATCCTCATAGAACTGAGGAGACAGGAAGGCCGACCGCGACAGGTTGGCTGAGACACAGAGAGACACGGTGAGACATGATGAGCTCTTCATGTATCATCATATTTTACTACTGTTGTTCCATTAACTTTGCACAAAAAAAAAAACAAGCCTTGATGGGCCACGCTTTTATTGCAATGAAGACTCGTAGAAAGTAGGGCTGGGTAAAAAATATCGATATCTCGATATTAATCGATTCTCATTTTTTCGGAACAATATCGATTCTTAAATTCCAAGAATCGATTAGTCTAGCCTGTTTTCAGTTAATGGACGGAACACTGAAGGGCACTTTCCATCCAATATATCGCAATAAGCATTGTGCTTTGGTACTTTCAATATGAAACAAAGTCTCAGATTTCAAATTCTGTCCATTGTATTGCAGTATTCAAACAATGAATGCTGTTTTGGCGCTGTTTAATGTGGAGTGACAGATCGCGCTGTAGCGCCTCAGTTCAACAGACGCAGCAGCGCGAGGCGCATGTGAACTGATCATCTCCTCCACATTAATACCAGTTTCAGCACATAAACAATAAACATGACTAAACATCCGAAGGTAAGTTAAAAGAAAGAGTACAACTTTACAATCCGTATCCTGTCTCATGTAATCGCTCAAACAGTGTTTCCTCCGCGCAAAGACGTCAATATAACGTCTTGTAAACAATGT